ATTCACTCGTTATAAAATAGGGTTAAGACAAACTCACAGAGCAAATGCCATCGGTCCCTTGATGTTCGTCCTAAAGAGGTTTGACTGGATATCATTCATACTCCCCCAAAGTCGTGTAACATGTTATTATTATGGAGTGCCTTGTTTATCTCTCAGTACCTCCAACCATATATCCTTGCCCCCTATATCCTCAGGATCAGTGTAGTTGTTGGAACGACGTGTTGGACTCAGCAATGTATTTGTTTACATTTTAATACATGTTTATTGTTCCTACTTTGCTGTGTTGTTTTAGACAATCGTGGACTTGTAACACTTTGAAGTCATTGAACTGCTTCCAAAAGTTTTATAGACATCAACAGGATTACGATTTCACTACAATATGATGCCGGATGACCTTATCACGACAACCCATGATTACAATTGTAAACACAGAATCAACAAAAACATCTGCGGCACGCACCTTGTTACAATTCTCAAGTAAATGTGATTTAGGGTGTGGACACCTGGATTTTCTGAAAGATTTTATGACAGAGTCATGAAATTCTGCAACATCCACAGAATGACCTGCGTATAAAAAAAGTATCACCGCCACTACCCATATGATTTCCCTGCAGAAGAACATGAATACATGTATGCAAGACTAGTTCCATTTTCTGCAAGAAAAGGCTTGCACATCAATGCGTATATATACTACGGTATTGAATTTGATATGATACACGTACATAGGGGCTCCCGTAAGAAGACCATAGGTCTGTGGGAAACACCCTAGTAAAATAAAATAATAATAATAACATGTAGAGGCGCTACATGCAGGCCATCATTTATTTGGGCATTCCATTGGTGACACAATTACATCCTTTAGCCAAAAAAACAAAAGAAATTATAGCAATAAAAACTGCTTTATGGCAGTTTTCTAAAAAAAGTTATTGTGTTCTAGTCCATGGACCCCGTCTAAAAAGTAAGAAATTAACGAAATGTGATAGCCGAAAATTAAAATTTCACACAAAACCTCACAATAATCACACACAGAATGAAAAGCTACATGTACATGTAGAAGACCTTTTCCCCTCGTGATCCTCTTTCCTATGCATTTATGACATGCATGTTGCCAATTGTTGGTGCAGTACAAGTTTAGTGTTGAAAGCAGCATTTCAAGTGCTGTGATTATTGTGAGGTTTTGTGTGAAATTTTAATTTTCGGCTATCACATTTCGTTAATTTCTTACTTTTTAGACGGGGTCCATGGACTAGAACACAATAACTTTTTTTAGAAAACTGCCATAAAGCAGTTTTTATTGCTATAATTGGAACTGTCCGCACCTCTTCACACTACAATGTAGACATGTACACTGCGTTCTTGGCCCACATTCACCCGTGACACCATAGCGAGGAAGTAACAGGTTTAATAGTTCGTTCTTGGATAGATGCTCCATATCCTTCAGACAGCTGACTTGCAGGACTGCCATCTTGAGATCTTCAGCAAGTCGAATGATGTTGATGCAATGATAAGCGAATGGTACGCAAAGGTGTTTACTGCTCTAGATCGCCACGCCCCATCACAACCTCCTCGCAAGTCGACGCGCCGACCTTGTCCATGGTTGTGTCCTGAACGTGTACTGCTGTGCGGCAACGAAACAAGGCCCACCGACTTCTCTCACGCTCTCCAAACGATGTCCGCCTGCGAGAGCAACACCGCACTCTCCGCGCAGCCGCGCGCAAGCTGGGTCGGAGGCTACAGGAGAGCGACATGACAAAAAATTACCGGTACGCCCTTCTTCAGTCTGTTGATGCGTCAAAAGCGACTGGACATGATGACTTGCCGGGTATTGTCCTTATAAACTCGGCACCAATACTGGCTCCCTCGCTCAGCATGATTTTTCAATACTTCGCTATGTCAGGGGTGTGTTCCCCCATCAGTTTAAAAATGTGTCGCCGCTATTCAAAGGTGGCAGTCTTGATCCTTGTCAGCCTACTGCGTATCGACCTACTTCTCCACTACCAGCCGTTTCTCGTCTCCTCGAGAAGATCGTCAAAGCTCAGCTCACTTCCTTTCTGACCGATCACAGCATTCTCCCTGACTCGCAGTTCGCGTACAGGAAGAACCACAGACAGTACCCAGGACACTCTTGTGCTAGCTGTCAAGCGCTGGCTCAGAGCCAAGTATGAGCGCAAACTCACAGGTGTGATATTCGTGGATATGTCGAAGGCTTTCGACTGTGTCAAACACACCATCTTGGCACAGGAGCTATCCGACATTGGGGTTGGCGGTACTGTCCAGCTATGGTTGACACTAGTTTACCTGAGTGAGCGCCTTCAACGCGCAGTTGAGGGCGGAAATAATAATTGCTCGGATCGCGGAATACGTCACATGCAGTCGAGAGGTGCCGCAAGGATCCGTTCTCGGCCCCCTCCTCCTGTTCACGCGCGCTGTACATCCGTAAACCTTCGGTGCTGCCTGCCCCAGTTGGTCACAAACGAGGACTTTGCAGACGACATTGCAATCGAAGCCTTGGGCAGCTGCGAACAAGTGTGCTTCTCTCCAAGCACAGCCATCACTGACCTGTCCCAGTGGTTGGAGGACAGCGGACTAATGCTGAACCACAAGAAAACGCAGGCGCTGTTCCCACCCCAAGAGCCCCAGCCCCTGCCACAGATGACATACGAATTCGCTATGGGAACGCAGCCCTTGCAGTTGTGGAACAGGCGCGGTACCTGGGCGTCATGGTAGATGGTCAGTTCTCCTGGGAGCCTCACATCAACCACACAATCCAGCAGGTGCGAAAGTCAGTAGGTGCGCTGTGGTGGACCGCCGAAGCCTCACCCTGGCGTTAAAGATCCTGTTTTACAGGTCGATGACCCAGGGTAGGTTGTCGTACGCTTCCAACGCGTTTTATCCGTCGCTAGCAATTGGCACCCTGGAGCCCCTGGCACGGCTAACGAAGTGCACTATCCGCGGCTTCTTCGGTTTGCCACCGTGGTCGCGCACGAGCCCGATCTTTCAACAGCTCCGCCTCACCACCCTGCAGGACACATTTAACATCAAGCTCCTCGTCTTTGTCCGTCGTTGTCTGTTCTCCCGACCTAGCTCCCTCTTCACCAGCTTCTTCCTGAGGGTTACTGGTAACCGCACTCGGGGAGCAGCACATCACCTTCTACAAGTACACTGTACAGTAAACATGTCAAGGCGACCACTCGGATAAGGCGACCACCTGTCCTAGAAGACCACTGAAACCAGGACCAACGGATGCTATTTCCAGTCAAATGACCCTGGATAAGGAGACCACCTGGTAACAGAGACCACGTTTTGAAGGTCCCTTGAGCGGTCGTCTTAGACAGGTTTCACTGTACCAGTTTGACCCGATCCTGCGGGTCGAGCAACCATGCGTTCATCAGCACAGTCCTGTGATACCAGCTCCCGCCTGATCTCCGTTCCGAGCCCAGCCACCTTCAGTTCTGTGCCCTGCTAAAAGCGCATCATGGCTCCGCTTTAAAAATGCTTTTCGGCTAGTGTCACGGTTTCTGTGGTATAGAGGACTGAAGAATAGGAAGCGCATTTCGCAATATTTGCATGATGGTATTTTGTATTATTATAGCATACACGTATTTCCATTCTGTTTTTGCTTTAGTGTAGCTCTGAGGACGCCACGAATCTCTTTCGTATCTCCCTCCTCCATGAAACGGAGATGTACAGAATATTCTCATTTGTGTTTTGTTATTTTTCGAGCTGGGCATGCCGGCATCGGTAAAAATCAAAAAATTAATGGGGAAAAATGGGGGGTGGGTGGGTGGGTCAGAGACAATTTTGCACGAGGACGGATTTTTTAATTTTTCGAAAATTACGGACGACCCCTTATTACTTTCGTATTATTATATTTCATCACTTCAAGGCACATAACATGGCCAGCACAAGGAAGTGAGGGTGACCAACCAACCACGGGGGTTATATTCATGAGGAGGGATTTCTTTGGCTAGTACTGTAAAAGCAGAAATTTTCGGTGGTGTAATATTTTCGGTATTCTCCAAAATCGGCGGTTCGGCGGAGGGAAATTTTCGGTAAACCCGCGTTCCAGGTAAGTGTACTAGTACTATACCGACATTTTCGGTGCGTTTTATTTTCGGTAAAAATTTCGGCACCGAAGTTACCGAAAATAAAACACCACCGAAAATTTCTGCTTTTACAGTAGTCTGTCCCTCCAGAAACTTGCGGAGAGATTTCGGAAATATCGCGGAAAAAGTTGCGAGGTAAAATGCCACAAATTGCGGGGAATATTGCGGGATTATTGTGGTAAAATTGCGGAAATTGCGGCCGATTTTGGTACTTGTACTGTAGTGGTGTACGATGTACGAGTCATGCAGCATAAATCATGCATGACAAACCAGAGCGTGTGCTGCGCTGACTGTGTTCAACCAGGGAGTCGTAAAATACCGGTATTTTACGACTCCCTGTGTTCAACTGCCTGATGACAGGAGCTTGCAAGACAGCTTTCCTCCATCCTCGGACAACACTCGACGCGAGCCTTATTTTGTGACTTGTCAGCCGCTGATTTGCCCAGAAACTTCTCCATTCTGGCGTCGATCTCACAAGTAAACTACTGACGAGCTTCAAGAACTAAACAACATCGAAGAAAGACTCGAATATCGCGGTTGCTTTTCGAAATATCGCGGTGCTTTTCAAGTATCAAGGACAGTTTTCTACAAGAATCGCGGATGGTTTTTCAAATATCGCGGATATCACGGACTTTTGTTCAAATCGCGGAAAACAACGCGGCCGCGGAATCGCAAGTTCCTGGAGGGACAGAGTAGTGAGGTACTCTTGGTCACATGCATTCACCCCTGTCGACACCGTCAACAGAGCCATATTACCAGGCGCGTGCCCCGTATGGGTTCCTGGGTGCCCGGAACCCCCCCCTTTTCGCTCAAAATGCAGGATTTTGCTTCATTTTTTGAAAATGTTCCCGGGGGAGGCCCCCCGCAACCCCCCCCCCTTGAAGGGGGCCGGCGCACGCGCCTGAGAGCGACCATATAATTGCCATGTTCACCAACAAAATCCGTGTGATGAAGCCTGGCATGAGCGGCATGACAGCATATTAAACATCATTATACGGGCACGTCGCTCATGAAAGTTAAAGACCTGATCATGTACACTAGAAACAAAATAATTATTACCTATAAAAGAGAGAGAGAGGGGGGGGGGGGGGGGATGCGTGCGTGCAGCAGCGGAGAAGGTAAGATCAGTATGCGTTACTTATAATGTGTGTTCCGTGGAGAATTCAGAACACTGGTCTGAACCAGCCTGATCCATAACAAGTAGACAGGGAAAGGGACAAAACAGGAAAACCTGCAGCACAAAGGCAACATATAACTACTACTATTGAACTATATAATACTGAATAGGTAAAGTGATGTTATGTCCAGACTGCAACATACTGGAACACTGTGTGCGAGAGAGAGAGAGGTTTCGAGAAGGTTCTGAGGTGCTCAGACGCACCGGTTCTGAGACAGTCGAGAGGAGAGATACGCAGCGCAGGCTAAGCTACGAACATAGGGTCCAGACCACGCGTACTCTATGCCACAGGCGCTGTGGTGACGACATGCATGGATTCACGGATGCGTGTGTCTGTGCACGTGTGTAAACACAATGTGGGAATCGTACCGGAGAAGTGTGTCCAGCGGAGACAGAACCGTGCTCGCACTCACACACACACACACACTGGTATTGAAATCATGTACACGCGGATCACGCAGGCCAGCAGTACAGCAAGGGGAATGAAATGCCTGGCGCTTGCTTGCATGCCATGGCCAACGCTGCAACGGCGCATGCAACACAATTGAAACACTACTAACATCTATGGCGATTACGATCAGTGTCGGAGCAGCACACGGGACGGGAGTGTGTACGGTGACAATCCAATCTGCAAGCGGGAGAACACAAAACAAAAAACGAGCACAAACTTGTCTTAAAAAAGTGCACCGCACAGGCCACAGGCAGAGCTAGCTAATTAACCTGCACACATCCTGCACACATCCTGCACACATCCGCTTTCTAGCAGGGGGTGTTTTAAAACGCATTAGAGAGGTTAAGATGCACGTTATTGCCGACGTGACGCGAAAGTTCAGCTCGCGTTATTTACTCGCACGTCGAAAAATCAACGCGAGCGACCTGCTGCTCACGTCGAAATTTGGAGTTTTACGCCAAATTTGACGTGAAATTGCGCGTCACGTCGGAAATAACGTGCATCTTAACCTCTCTATTAAATTGTGTTTCCTTGAGCTAGTTTGTGCAGGGGATCAAATGGGACTTTGTCCACCACAGGTTCAAGGTGCGTCTGATAATTTGTGTATTAAAAAAAAGCCTGTATTACCCCCCCCCCCCCCCCCCCAGTATAACTATAACGCTATCTAGCCATGTTCACACTCAGGTATCGAGTGTCAATACTCTTGTCCCGTTTTCTAGCCCGCCTCCATGTAAACGACCATGGGCGAAAGCCCGGGCCCATTACCCAGTGCAGTGCATGCACAGCTCCATGTGTATGTACGGTACTGTAGTAAAACTATACCGTAAAAGTCCGTAAATATTAAAGTACGTATTTACTTTTGAATTTAGTGACCACACCCGTACTAACTTTCGGGCGGGTACTGACTTTCGGGCACGAACTAACTTTCGGGCCTGACTTG